GATTGCTTTTTAGGTATAGAGCGGTGACGAGTGCATACTACAGAGGCGCAGTAGGGGCAATGCTTGTTTACGACATAACAAAACGACAGTCATTTGATCATGTAGCGAGGTGGTTGGAAGAACTGAGAGGCCACGCAGACAAAAACATCGCCATTATGCTCATAGGCAACAAGACTGACCTCGGCACACTCCGAGCCGTGCCAACCGAGGATGCCAAAGAATTTGCTCAAAGAGAAAACCTCTTCTTCATGGAGACATCAGCCCTCGCTGCCAGTAATGTCGAGCCATCCTTTCTCAAGGTTCTCACTGAGATCTACCGAATTGTCAGCAAAAAGACGCTTGTTGCCAACGACGAAGGAGAGTCTGGTGGGGGCTCTTCCCTCCTCCAAGGAACTAACATTCTTGTTCCTGGACAAGACACTGAATCTAAAGGGAAGGGATGCTGTGGAACATCATAGAATCATTTTCCTTTTCTTGTTGCCTGCATAAATAATGTCTCTACTTTGTATGTAATGATCGAGTTTGAGAGTTGAATGTTATTTACTGAATGAGTTGCGTTTATTCAGGCAAAACTGTTATTTCGATTCATTGAGGCTAACCCTTGTTAGATTGTCAGACTTGTATGCAAGGAGCTCTTTTTCCATTGAAATTGAGTCTGGCAAGTTATTACCAAATACAAAATCTCCATTGTTAGGGTAGATATTGATGTACTCTCACACGGATGACAAGAAAAATCTACCAACGATCATTGGTGGAATATTACATTTGGGAAATAGACTACTATGTGCAAGTCTGCAAGATATCAAACAATCACGAATTTCTTGGAATTTTGTGATGCTCAAGTGAAAAGTAGAATTATTAATGTAAACGCAAGGGTTCACGTTACGCGTTTATATTTCAAATGAATCGATAAAAAAAATACATGTCCCAAAGGAAGAGGCTTCAGATCTTCAGAATCAGTAGGAAGTAGAATATCTTTGTCGTCCGTGACTGAACAGCATACTTATGAAAATCCCGTTTTCCCTTTTAGATTGATGACAGAAAGCTCTTGTTCAACATACTCTCCTGCGGGTATCGCCGGATAGTTACTCGCCAGTGACGATTCCGCAAAATGTCCCAAAGGTTTCAGCTCAGCATCAGAGGCAATGTGGGCAAACAACTGCAAGGAAGGCATGCACAAATAAATCTTTCAGATAAGCAAAGGGTTGAGTTTTTGGTGGAAAACTTTGAAGGAAATTAGTTAAGACTTACAGTCGAAGATACTCTCCATAGGCTTCGGTTTTGTTCTTTTGCTAATTTGATTGCATCTATAGTCTTGCTCGTGACAACAACTTCATGCATTCCCGCAATGCATTCTCCAGCAGTCAGCCATTCAATCTGGACACATGAGCACCACAATTCTAAATTCTTAGCTAATGAAGTCGAACCTCAAAGAAATAGTTAGCACAGTTTCTTTGGTTACATAATTCAAGATATTAGGCGGTTCATGGATGCTTCATAATACCAAAAAAATTTATTTGTATTGGGTGACAAAATGAATCATCTAACTGTTTTCTTCCCTTACTCTACTCAAGATCAAGTAACAAAACGCCTTAACATCTCCATACCTGCTTTCCAGTTTGAATCAAGAGGCAGCCTAGGGGAACTTTAACCGCAACTTTTTCCCCATTCCTTAACCAAATGTATAGACCAGGGAATCTACTTCTTCCATGAATTGTTAGAAAATTGAGGTCATAGTGATATCCTGCAAAGATCGTGCCCTCCTCGTTGTAACAGCTAAGATCACTACCAGTTGGAGCAAGAAGATGGGGACCCTGATATTCAAAAGAAGGGTAGTGTTAAAGTTAGGAAATCAGAATTTATGCATGAGCCCGGTTTCCAGTTGACATTCATCCAATACTTAAGCTAAATGAAGCACTGTTCAAGACAGTAAAATAAGGATTTTGGCAAGGGAAAGGCTTGGCTTTGCCGTTGGAGTGAATACTTAAAAAAGTTTTATTAGTTTGCTTTGGTGTGCATATGAGCTTGACGATATGAGCCAGTTCACCAAGTGGTTCTAGGTAGTGAAAGCTCTGTTTGGGTGTTTGTTTATCAATAAAAGGGGGTTTATTCTTAGCACACAATGGTTCCCACAAAAGCTACAATAGGTGAAGGAAAAAAAGGGCAGCATTAGAATTGACCTGCTTCATGAGGGATGTAAATGCATCCTTGGGTAAACCAAAGCCGATTGCTGCCATTTCAGCAACAAGCTCCACAGTTGATATCATCTTGTAACCCCATGAGTCCATTATTTCTTTCCATTCTGGAAAACCTTGTGGTATGACAGGCTCTGAGTTGAGCTCCTGAGAATATATATCACTGGTAAGTAACTAATAAGCTACAACTTGTAAAAAAATTTGTATGAAAGATACAATAAATAATACCTTAAAGCGTGTGTTTGATGGGCGAGGACCTGCTCTCCACATGTATCTCCACTTGTGATCTGGTCCCTTAGGAGTGTGTGGTTTGTACTCACTGGGCATTGCCTTCAATTTCTCTTGCATCTCTTCATCAACCAAGCTTCTTGGAACCTCAACTCCCTCCGGTGTCACACCAACCTGTTGGGAGGAAATTCTCAAAATCCAAAAGAGAATCCAAATGACAAAAATCAAAGATGAGGAACCTGATAGTGCAGATTAGGTCTCTGCTGCAATCGCTTGAAATCATCAGGCATTTCGAAGTAATTCTCCATCATATCAATGAATCGATCGTTGTCTTGAACGCTGCATCTCGGATCTTTCACCAGCAGGGCTCCGGTTTCACTGAGGATCCGACTCACCTCTCGGCAAGACTCGAGAAGATGAGTTCCCACTTCACCACCGGAGAATTCTAGGTAACTCGACAGATCGACAACCGGCAACTCCATTACGACAAAAGAGAGGAGAGAAGCGCGTCTCTTTCGAGTTGCTGGGGCATTGAGTAGATTTCACCAAAATGGTTAAGAAAATATTCTTACCTTTAACCAAACAATATTCAAATCCTTCTATAATTTTAATGTCTTTTCTCTATATCCATTTTCGGATGATTATGAAAAAAACCAAATAACAAATTCAAATAATATAATAAAATATGTATTATTATGAGTCTTCAATCTGGATCGAGTTGAAATACACTACAGAAAATAAAAAAATTGGAGACTATTTTGTATATCAAACAATTTTGTATGCTTCCATTCATCAATTTAAGAGATTGAGGTGCGTTTTTTACCTTGTCAAAAAATTGAAACAGTGGGATTATAAAGGTGAACAAAGTTTAAAATGCGGTGCATTTTTTACAAGCGTGGTGCGGTCCGACTGCGGTTTTTATTTGTTTTCGTCAAAAAATTTTAAAAAAATATATATATAAATTAATCTTGTGTGTAAAATACGTGTCTATTAAAAAAAAATTATTTCAGTCATAAAAAGTGTTGGAAACAATTGTTTTGCACAATTTATTTTTTTTTCCACCAATCAAACATTGTTCCCGCCTTTTTTATACAAATCGCACTTGTTCCGCAATCCGCACAAACCGCAGTTGTACTATACCACATAGCACAATTTTTTTACCCGTACCGCATAATTCAGTGTCACCATTCGGACCCTAAATTTTTAAGTTGACAAAACCAAAAAACTAGATTCCGATGTTGACAAAAAAAAATTGAATCTGGATTAAAGAATAACGTAACATATTGTTCAATCTAAAAAAGTTGTCTTATTGCGAGTTCTAGAAATTACAAAATATCCTATTTTATAAACTATTTTCGTATCTATAGGCGATTATATTCCCATCAATCACGCTTTCTATTCATCATATTAATCAATTCTTTTGATTTCGCACGTTATGCAATTTGAATTCTTTTTGACTTCAGTTTGTTCGAATTCTCTCGACCTATCTAAGGGCAATCGAGGGCTCACATCTTCCGTACTCCTAAAGAGACCACATCCGTAGACTGGATTTACTTAATTAATCCGCTTAATTCGCGTATGTTTCAGACCAAACTGCGAGTTGAGTAAAATCCATTGTTTTTATCCTCAAGCTGGCTCTCAGTACGTTCTTATTGGCCAATCCGGATATGACCTACTCTTTCTTCAAATTGGATTTTCGTAATGAAATTCAATGTCAACATGATGTATCCATTTCAACCATTCTTGAACAAGAATATCCCTTCTTAAGTGACAATGGCTTGAGGGATGCAATGTATTACATTTACATCTTTTTTATTTGTTAGCATAATATTTAATAAGATTTTATCTTGTTTATTATTTTATGTTTATATTATCAATTAATCAAATCTTGTAATCTTAAATAAAAATAATTCTCTAAAACATTTGGTTTGTTACCTAATTTTGTTTATCTATGTTGGTTTACAAACCTACCAAGTATAAGATTTTTTTGTCTAACACCTTAACAAGCTAACTAAAACGGTTGAAAATACATAGTTTAAATAAATAGTATTTGATAGAAAGGTGTGAACACTTCGGCAAACTTGTCCGCTTTTGAATTTTGAGAACGGATCAACAAAACCTCGAAGACGCTAAAAAGCTCCATAATCCTCATGAATTCTTCCAAAAATTGTGAGAATATGGCTAATCTATTGTGAACACTACCATTGTCTTATGTTGGGCGATAAGTGCTTCTAGCTCTGAATACTCGTGT